CGCCTATGCGATCCTGTCTGGCTCTTTGGAAACGGTAGACACCTTACTGGCCGCCGGTGCAAATCCGAAACTTCGTATCAAGATGAAATACGGCACCATCACTCATCCCCTGTATCTGACTACATTCTTGCCCGACGAGGATCGCGCAGCGGAGATCGCTGCTCGACTCATTGCAGCCGGGGCCTCTTGTTCCCTGGGCGACAAGAACTTGATGACAATACTCCTCCGGTTTGTCATGGACGGCAAGACGAAATTGGTCTCGACTTGTCTCCGCTACGACCCGAAGGCGAAACTTATTGTAGATCAATTGACACAGTCTGATAGATGGATGGAGCCGCTTGCAAATCCACTTATATATTCAGTCATGGATGGCAATCACGCTATGCTGGCAATCCTGATCGCCTATGGTGCCAAATTGACTATCGCAGAAGTGAATGTCTCAAGGGTGGAGGAAGCAACCAACAGGTACCCCAGAGACTATACCCAACTCACATTCATTTCTCATTTGTTGGTTATGATTTGTAGGCAGCCGTGGCAGCGTGAGCGGTCTCTGGATGAGAAGATAACGACGCCGGTGGAGATCGCCCTTGCACACCGCGACTATATTGTTCAAGTACTGATAAACCTAGAGGCAGATATCCAACTCAAGGGTAATCGAACTGAGCATCCCATTCTCGACTACGTGCGCCAGGCGGTGGAATACTACAACCCTTCAAAGTTCATCCATGATGTGATCGAGAAGAAGCCCGTTCCAGAGGCCACAGAAGATAGCTGGTCGGATTACAACACCTATCTGGGTTCTCTGGTTCATCATTTTGACAACCCGCCTCCAGCGGAACCAGCGGACCCAGCGGATATTGCTCGCGTCCATGCATACTTCCTCGAAGCCGAAACTCTTCTTCATACCCATGGAGCGGAAGCGAGTCCTGATCAACAATCGCTCACGCCTTTCCCACCCAATCGAGGTCTTCCGAACCCCAACTATCAATATATCTATTCCTCAGGCTGGACCGAAGACATTCCGATGCATCTCAAGGATCTTTACGACGATCTGTACAACGCCTGTTGGACAGGAGACAACGCACGCATCGAGCAGCTATGCATCCCCAAGCAACTTTCGGAATCACAGCAGCCTATACAGGTTACAGTGCGATACAGCCACTATTGCAGGAGTAATGCAGGATACAATCGGGTCGGTCAGTCCCATCAAAACCTCTCGTGCAGTTGACACCAGTCTCACTAAATATTCCAGGTGAAACGCCGCTTTCCATAGCTTTTCACCGCCGGCATTGGAGTACCATGCCGCTTATTCTAAGAATTTCCGCAGCGCAGTATTGTCCCAATAAAGAGAACGAATGCTTTACGGTCAACGAGCTCGTCGGAGGTGAGTGCAGTGTGATTCTCAGTGGTTCCTTTCATGTTCTTATCGACAGTGCAGACGGCGACACCGACGGAGGCTCCGAGACATCCGAGGACACCGTTCAATATCCAGATCTAGTCGACATCGCAGCGCGGCCCTCCGCCGTCCGTTGCGACGGGTCCCCATTGCGACTGCTCGCAGGTGCGGGAGGGATGTGGGTCTCTGCCGCAGGAAAGCCTCAGCACGGAGCCTTGATGCGAAGGGCTATTACTCAGAACGACTTCGAGGGCTTCGTCAAGCTCTGCGATTTATACCAGTTCCTCAATGTGCCTCTATGGCCTTCCAATCCCACCCTTGCCGTGATTATGGAACTCGACCGCCCGGAGATGCTGGATGAGCTTATACGGCGAGCCGGATGCGGTATTTATGCCCCCGCCGAGCCGCAGCATGACGGAGATGGTGAAAAGGACTCGAAGCCGACACGTCGGGAATACTTTGGTCTCAACATCCTTGGCAAGAAGAGGAAGGACTTAGCTACCAAAGGATCCCCTGAGGAAGTCCAAGAGCTTCCATTGTTATTTATCGCTGCAAATTTTGGCGCCACCAAGACAATCGACTATTTGGCTTCTGCACGGCCATTGGCAGCGTTCCGCTACTACATGTCTGCCAACACCGACGCGCGTGCGAATTACCTGCGAAGCATGGCAGGCTTGGATAAGGCCCTCCCGAAGCTGCTCGGTTGGGAGATCAACTCATTGAACGAATCGAGTCTTACTGCTGCGGTCATTAGCTCGAAAGCCCCCAGTGCCAGGTTTGACGCGATCAAGGAGCTTTTCAAGCACCACCCGCAGCTGATTCTCGATGCCATGAATGCGCGGTGAGTCCAAGAGATCTTCTCGAAAACATTGATTTTCTGACCGATGGTGTGCAGACTCAAATTTGTCTCTGTCAGTGGGCTCACCCTCGCAGCATACTGCAACTGCAGTACCGACATAATCGATTTCTTCTTAGAGAAGGGCTGTGATCCCACGCTGCGTGACATTCGAGGGTACGCGGTGTTTTGCACGCAATCCGTAGTAGGGACTGAGATCGTCCGGCTCCAGGTGGAATATCTATCATCTGGCTATCCAATCAAACGACAAGCGTCGCGCCTCGCTTATTTCCCATTTGCTCAAGGTCCTGCCTTCGGAATTGACCGCTGCGCTGATGCTGCAGCAATCCTACGGAGCTCTCAACACAGTATGTCCTCTTATATATATCCACCGTCTGATTTTCACCGATGATTCCTTGCTTGCTAGCCCCTCATGCTCGCGACGAAACGGGCGCGCAATGTGACGATCAAAACCATGCTTGAGTCCCATCTCGATCCGTCCGTGTTCCTGGTCCGCGACGCACAAGGGTCTATCCCTCTCCATTTCGCCGTCCAGAGCGGGAACGAGACCATCACGCGCCTGCTCATCGAATACGGGCCCGCGGAGTCGCTCTTCGTCGAGAACAGCGTCGGCTTGACGCCCATGGAGATCGTCTTCGAGAAAATGCTGGGGAGTATCCCGGACCACTGTGCGCGGTCATTCGAGGAGATGGATTATATCAACGACTCCGTTTTCAGTTCTACTGAACTTGGCCAAGTTCCTTTCGAGCTGGAAAAACAGAAGACGCGCGTTCCGAAGCTTCGTGCGGCGCTGCAGATGCTGCTAGAGACCGGGCAGCTGAAGCGGGGTACCAAGGTTGCGAAGGAACTGCTCTCCTTTGCAGAGAAAATGGAGGAGATGCTCAAGCTTGCCGAGTCTGCTTCCTCTACGAAAATGAAAACTAAGGAGTCAGATACCAAGGCCACTCCTGAGGACTCGGATGAGCACGGCGAGAATTTCACTGCCGTTGCGGATGTTCTCACTCGAGCCCTATCCACGAGGACAGGATCGCGTGAGCTCGTGCATCTCGTCGACGTGCAGCAATCGGCGCATCACCAGCTGCAGCGCCAGTCTATTGGCCGGGAGGATCCACAGGTGGTGTTCGAGCGCAAGATGAGAAGGACGGAAGGGTATGCGCAGGTGGCTGAGGCGCAGGGTCAGAAACAGGTTATGGATTCATCTGGTCGGTCCAGGATGGTCTTCATAGGTGAGGATTTCGACCAAGATCGGTGGTGGGGCGCTGTGGAATCGGCGCGGCCTCAGTAGGTATTAGCGTATCTGTAAGTCGAGCGGGTAGTATGCTGGCAGCATCCAAGGCGCCTCATGACCGCGACGACTTGTTCAGGATGATGCACCTACGCGATTTCCGATACAGTGATGACACTCCGTCGATCTTATTGATGAGGCTCTGCACTCGTCCCTCTTCAGTATCCTCATAAGACATTTCCTCGTCATGCAATCGTATATGCGACGATCAGTAATGCTCAACGACAGTCGCCATCTTCACCCAGACTGTTGTGCGAAGTTAGCTATGTGCCGTCCAGACAAGCCTCAGATACACATACCAGAAGGATTGAGAGGAATCCGAAGTCCTAGAGTGCCGGCGTAGGCTCAGCGCGCCTGCATCCACCCCCTAGAAGAGACAAGCAATACACGATAAGCAGGTAGAGCTAGAAACTCAGGGTTGTACGTACATGTCTGAACCTCCTCACCGCGGCACTGGATAGGCTCGGGAGCAGCAAGCACTAGAGTGGCGGAGGCGAGAGCGATGAGAGCAGCGAAGAACTTCATGATTGTGACGGGAAGAGCTCAGAATAACGGGTCTGGGGGGCTGGGAGCACCCGGCAAAGTTCGGCCTCTTTTAAAGCAGACGCGTTGTCGAGACCCTCCTTTGATAGTGTTTACACAACAATGGTCAGTCTGAGCCCTGTGATGATAGTGATAAGTATGTGAAAGCCGACGTCCCACGGAATCGTGCAGCGTGAGCTGGAAAGTCAACGCGGACCACCGCTGATCAACGACCAACGGATCATCTGCCGTCACTTTCCGCATGGTAAGGGCCCACTGCTGACGATATACGTGTCAGGATGTGCGTATATCATAGGTGCCTATTGCATAGGTGGACCTAGTGTAAGTGTGCACGCTGAGTGTCTATCCCCGTGTACGCCCGGATCAACATCTCTGAGAATGTTGGTGTGCAGAACAGACTACTTGAAGGAACGAACCTATGGAATGATTATTTGGTATATCACGACTCTTCGAGCGGAAAGATTAGAGCAGATATTATGCATCCATGGACTTTGCGAGGCATGCAACGAATGGTAAGACCATGGTTCCGCATGAACGATGATCTGTCTAGAGGCCAATCGTGAATCAGTATCAGCCAGGGACGAGAACAAACCAGTGTCTGATGGCAGGTTCGCGTCGGTCTGTTCTATCCATGCGTGAGATCCTGCGATATGAGAGCAAAAATGTCTCAGGACGGCATCCGTGTGGAATTCCTTCTTGCTGAAGAATCCAGTGGATCAAAGACTGAGACAGCTGACAAGAGAGCAGAAAGCTGAAGAGGCTCTTACCGGAAAAAAGGATATGCATGGCCATCTAGATGAGGAGAGCCTGAAAGCTACATACCAAACGGACTGTTATAAAAGATATCGAACAGACTGCCAGAAGCCTAGTTCGGGATCGAAATAATTGACTTCTGGAATTACAGCCTTCGTAGGGAATATACGCCAGTGGTGAAACGGTTATCATGCTTGCCTTCCACGGAATGCCCGAGGCAGCAAGCGGCAGGGGTTCGACTCCCTTCTGGCGTATCCTCCTGGCTGAAAGATTTTTCTTCTCAAAGAAGAACCGAAGAACTTACAGCGACACCGTAACCTAAGGGTCCGTTCGGTAACCGCACCGAAATATAATGTAGCGGTACATATTCCCATATATGGCAACTCTACCGAAAGATTATGTGTGGGAATTTTCCGACAGAAATTTCCGTATGTGCAGTGTTCGGAAGCACCAGTGCCTCCAAAATGTGTAGCCTCGGCACTGAGCTCCTCTTCCTTCAAGAACAGCCTATAACACATTTATTCCTCATCCCAATGCCTTGTTGGCTACATCTAAAATCATGTTAAATATGAATCTTTCTACCCTTCCATTTTTCGTGAGATCCATCGAAGGGATCAAGAGGGAGTTGAATAAAAGTGCCCAAAGCTCAGAATATTGTCTTCGGTGTAGGCATAACATTGAGAAGTTCTGCGCCACAGCGGAGTTTTGCATGCGCTCCCGGCACGCCGGCATTGGACCTGTCCTTACCGACGGCACATGCCTGCCGTTGCGGGCTTTTCTGCGGAGATCGCTTCGGCAGCTTTCGGCGAGGTGCCAAATTGTGGCACTTTCAATAATCTCATGATTCTGCTTCACATACCGCATGTATCACCACAAGACAAGGTCGAGCAAAGTGAAAAAATAGCAGTATATGACGGCCATAAATTTTGGCGCACCAGCTCCTTTTGTGCTGCTTCAATTCTGCATTTCCCGTGAAAGCAGGATTATGTGGTGGCTGTGCGATCCCGCGACGGACGACAACATTATCTGGATGCCAAACTAAAGTCATGTGATTATGTACGATATGTACCGCTACATTATATTTCGGTGCGGTTACCGAACGGACCCTAAGCGAGAAAATGAGTTGCTATAGTCACGAACTGTTGCAGGGTGAAGCGACGGGAAGCAGCGCCGACCAGAGAGAAAGAAGCCCACCGAAAGTCTCTGCTGTCTTCGGCTGATTGATGGTCATTTGAAGCGAAGGCGAATTGAGTCAACATTAGTATGAAGTATTCGAGACGAAGATAGAATGCTTACAAGACGGCTACTACTCATATACTTTCAATGTAAACGTAGCGTTGTCGGTCCTCGTCAAATACGCATACTCAAATACAGTTTGGAGCTGTGTCAGTTAGACCAGTATAGGAAGCTTGAGATCAGACGAGTTGAGGTGAAATGCAACTGCGAGTAGTGCCGAACGCCTTCACAATTTATTGACCAGTACACCGTGCGGAATGACCGGAACCTGTTCGAATGCGTCGCTGCGGCAGGTAGACTGGCCGGAAAAGGCCGAGCGTAGCGGTCCGGCATGGCCCGTGCCAAGTATGTTCTCCAGATGACAACTTCATACACCTCTCCTCAAGTCTCAGACTCTCAAGCATATGCTGCCGCCTAATTCATCATCAGCAGCAATACAGATATCGTGTTCAAGGATAATCGCGAGAATGGCAAGGAGGAAACGCAAACAAATTATTAGGAGACTGGTATACAAACCTGCATGCGACACTGACCGACATCTGAAAGACGATACAGCACAAGTCGCACAACATCTAGTGCTGAGGCAACGGAGGAAGCCGCGTCCGACTCTGCGAAATCAACGGCACTGCTGGCTTCTTCAACACAAGCCTCTTCATCGGCGCCCTCAGCCCCGACCCTCCAAACCTATACGTCCTCTCCGCAGGCGTCGCAGCACTCGCCAGCTCCACCGCGACGCCGTCCTTCGCCATCTGCTGCAGGCCCTTGACGAGCTGTTCGAGGTCCCTGCCGATGCGGCGGAACTCCTGGCTCCGCGCGCGCAGATGCAGCAGCTCTTTGCGCGCATCCTCGAGCATCGCGTGCATCTGCGCCACGCTGTGCGTGCCGCGCGTCTGCGCCGCCGTGTAGTCCCGCCATTCCTCAAGGTACATCCGCCGCGTGATCTCGCCCGGCGCGATGCGCTCGATGAAGAGGCGGACGTGGCCTGCGTATTGCCGCGGGACGTCTGCGCTGCTCATTGCGCGCTGGCTTGCGGCGATGATCACGTTCAATGTCTACGCAAGAATGGGAGACGCAAAGGTGCCGGTCAGTGAGCATGATCGGCCGCTCGGAGGGCAGGCAGGTGCAACATGCTTACCTGCAGCTCGTACATGATGTGCTCCGAGATTTTGGTGAGGAGGTACGCGCGGAAAGACGTGTATGTATCTTCTTCCGGCGAGCCGTTTCTCCTCCACTCGAAGACCCTGCCATGCAGGTAAGCCAACTCCCAGTCCCACTGGTGCAGGCGGATGTCGAGAGCAGCGCCGTTCTGATGCAGCTCTTCCTTCGAGCGTGCATGTTTGTCGTCCTTGGCGAGTACGCTTGCGATGATTGAGTCCAGCCTGGGATGGGAGATAGAGCGGACGGCGGACATTGGTGCCTGTGTCAAAGGGCGGGTTAATGGACGATTGTCCGTGGGTAGAGAGTAGAGATGCCTAGAGGCATTTTATATCGGACTACAGTCTGATCCACAACGGATGCCACGCGGCACTCAGCAGTTGTGGCCCCGGGAGTGTTGTGGCCTTGGAAGAAGATCGGAACTGGACAATAGGGCTGTGACGCGATAACGGAATAACGATTCATGTCAACAATGATACAACAAAGCAAAAGGCACGAGTCCACAATACAACCAACCTACAACGATACACGAGAGTAAGGAAAGAAACCCCCTGAAAACAGACCACAGCTCGCATCCTTGTTCGCCGCCTAGTCGCCCTTGTCCTCGACGTCCGCACGCTCGTGCAACACACCGCGTGCCTTCGCATCCTGGACATACACCTGCAGCTCGTCCTTCATCCGGCGCAGGTTCTTCTCCATGACCTTCAGGCGCGTGATCTCGCTCGCCATGCGCTCGACGACGCCGTACATCGCGCCGAGGTCGTCGCGCTCGCCGGGCTGCCCCGGCCCCGCCGCGCTCTTCTCCTGCGCGTACCGCTCCCAGTCGTCCAGGTGCCGCTGCCGCACCGTGTGCCCCGAGTTCATGCTGTCCAGGAGCACGTTGATCTTCTGCCGCCGCTCCTCGGGCACCTTGTGTCGAATATAGCGATATGCGTCCTCGACGGACGAAAACACCTGTGTACGGCGCGCGGCGTTAGCATCGGCGCTACCCGGGAGCAGGGGGTGGATAGGGGACGGCGAGCCCCGCACGCACCTGCTTCTCCAGGACCATATGCTCCCTGATCGCCTTCATCAAGAACGCGCGCAGGTCGGGGTAGAGTCCATCCTTGGGGTCGCCGTAGACCTTCCACTGCTCGACCTTCTCGTTGACGTAGTCCAGCTGGCCTTCCCACTGCTCGATGCTCGTGTCGAACGCGGGCGGGTCGAAGAGGAGGTCGGAGCTCGAGATACTGTGCATCGTGCCGGTGCTCATGAGGGCAGAATCAGAGGTGGGGAGCGGCCACGGCGGGCTGCGCGCGGCTGGCCCCGTCAGCATTCGGATCGCGCCCGGCGGGCGGCACAGCGGCGGGCGGTCTGCAACCATGGAAATGGAAGATGAGGCGGCGCGCGATCGCTGTGCGGGGTGCTGCTGGGAGTAGAGTGTGCTGCGAGGCGATGGGGGTGTGGAGGGTAGGGGTGAGGACGAAGATGGGCGTGCGTGTGCGTTGGCCGATAGGAGAGAAGCATTGCAGGCTTACAGCGCGCCCGAGCGTGGGTCTAGGCCTGGCCGCGCTGCAGGCACGCGAAGCAGGAATGAATGCACTCATCGCCGCGAACGGCAGCTATTTGAAATGGGGCGCGAACATAGGAGGGTGGGGACGTCGCGGGCGGGGGCATGCACACGGGTGCGCGCCTAGAGCGGATTGTGCGGCCGTGCGCTGCGGAGATCCAGGCCACAGCGCACACACCGGTTGCGATGCCAGCGATGCCCCGAAA